TATACTCTCCTCACCACTGATTTGGATCGCTTGTTGTTCCCTTGTCCCTAGGTTTGTTAACACCATTACCTTTCCCCCCACTGCCCGCTCTCCCATGTCCCCCAGGAACTGTCGGTCCTGTTGTTTTCTCCTCCAGATTGTTCATCCAGCTTATCTTATTTAGACAGACCCGCAGAGATAATAACATGCACAAAAATAAGACAGAGCAAAACCAAGCAACAAAATAAAGCAAAACAACAACAAACCAATGACAGTAAACAAAACACAGCAAGAAAGAAAAGCTTATAGTTAGTTCAAGAACTGTTAGTTGGCCTCCGTACATTCTTATAGATATGCAGCCATTCTAATTCTCCTTTTCCAGTTGTCCCTCCCTCATGAACACAAATGCACACCACCACCCCCGCCCCCCAAGGTTCCTATGTACTTTTTTGAGGTTCTGTTGTCAATTTAATCCCATACAGATAATTTTTAAAAGAGCTCAAAGCAGACCTTTTTCTAGTTAAGCTTAACTATTATTTGGTTTTAAGATCACCTCAAGAAATAATTTTCTTTAAGGTTTAAAGATTATTTCAGGGCAATAGTTTCCAGAGTTCACCCAGCCACCAAGGCACCAGGAAATCTATGAGAATTTGAGAAATTCTATTCTGTATTTTCCCCTTTTTGATGAGTATCTTCTCTAGAATCTGATTGACATATTCGATGGTAGCTGGACACCATCCAGTTCTAGTCTGGTGGCCCAGGAGGCAGCTGTTCTGCAGCCATGAGCCGTACATTCCTGACTCTGCAGTAGTCCATGTGAATAGACACCATTTGCTGTTCCTTGAATGGCTGCTATAAGGTTTTCCAACACCAGGCACTACACAATAAACTGAGGAAAAACAGAATCACTAAACACAGTATTACGCCAGTTACCTGTGCTGTCCCATGAAACCTGAAAGCTCCAAACCCGCCACTTACTTTTTTTTGGTCATTGTTTTAAATGTATCAAACAACCGTTGCAGGTTACTGACAGCAATTACACAAATTGACTGCAACCCTATCCTTATCCAATGTGATTTTTCTATCACCCCTGCTTTCTCCTGCTAACAACTATTAAACTTGGGTCTGTATACACTTATTTGCCTCCTCTTGCCTTTATTAATAAGGTCAACCCAATATTTGCCCTTTTCTAATTGGCTTCACTCAGGGTAATGTCTTCAAACTCCATCCATACTGTAGCATATAAGCCTTGATATAAGCATATAAACCTTTCTCCGAGTGGCAAAGTAGGACAGGTCTTTAACAGTTCATGCGTGGAGTTGCGTTATTGTAGTCCTAGAGACATTGCTGTGAAAGAAAAGGAATAGTTCGCTTACCTTTTGATTATAGTTTTCCGTGAGCCTTTTGAAACCCCTTGGTATCGCACGTGCTTATGTACTCATTCGTGGGTGGGCATTTAGGTCTGCCGCTTTGAGCTGCAGTGAGCATTGGTGTACAAGTGTCTGAGTCTGCTTTCAAGTCTTGTCTAGCTACCTAGGCGTGACACCGCACTCTTCTGAGAGGCCTGTGCCGTCTCGGTTCCAGTCGCCCTACTTCATCGCTAACATTTGTTCTTTTCTCCTTGTTGGTCAGCGCAGCCATCCTGGTGTATAGAATTCCATTGTGGCTCTGATGACTGATGTCACTGGGCATCTTTTCATGTGTTTGGTGGCCATTTAAATGCCTTCTTTGGTGAAATGTTTAGTCGACTCCTTTACCTATGTTTGCTTGTCTTTTTGTTGGTTTATATTTCATTTGGTTGTTAGATTCTTGTTAGATACATGGTATCCAAAGATGTTCTCCTCACCAGTAGCTTATCTTTTCACTTTTTTGGTAGTCTTTGGTAAACAAACGTTTTTAATTTTTATGAGGTTCCATGTACTTATTTAGTCTTTTGCTGCATGTGCTTGTCTCACTATGCAGCCTGACAGCACTGCTCCTGGGCTTTCTTCAGAGTTTCATGATTAAAGCTAAAATCGACATGTTTAGATTCTTCATCCATTCAGGATTTGGTTTTTGTGTGTAGTGGGAAGCATGGATCTGGTTTCATTTTTCTACATGCGCAACCAACTTTCCCACCACGCTATTGAAGAGATTCTTTTCCCCATTAAATAGACTTACTATAGTACCTTTGTTAACAAGCAATTGACCATATGAAGGGGTTTCAAAGAGTTCATGCAAAAATGGAATGATAAGATAATGGAATTTCTTTTTCTTGAGTTTTTTGAGACCACATAAATGTATGGATCTATTTCTGAACTCTCAATTCTATGCCAGTGGCATATATATATGCCATATATACATATATATACCTGTTATACTAGTAACAGGCTTTTTCAATCATTGTAGCTTTATAATATGTTTTAAAATAAAAAATGACCTAATGTTGGGGGTTTAAGTGGAGAGAAAATGTTTTGAGATACGATGTACAAATGCGCTTTACACAATTGATGTGTGTATGGATTGGGATAACAGTTGTATGAGCCCCTAATAAAATGTTAAAAAAAAAAATAAGGATGTGTAAGTCTTCCTATTTTGGTCATTTTCAACATTCATTGCTTTAGCTACTGGGAACCTCTTCCCATTTCATAAAATTTGAAGATTACTTGAGTTTGGGTTAGGGATTAAATTGAATTTTTAGCTTGCTTTGGGCATTACTGACAATTTAATAAGTCTTCTAATTTATGAGCACAGAGCATCTTTCTACCTATTTAAATCTTTTATCTCTTTTCAGCGGTGCTTTATTAGCCCTCACGTCCCTGGTTAGAATTATTTCTAGATATTTTATTATGTTAGATGCTATTGTACATGAAACTCCCTAATTTCCCTTTCAAATTCCTCACTCTTGATTTATAGAAATCTAACTGATTTTTTATTCCCCTAGATTGATTGATTGTTGACCATGTACCCCACAACTTTACTAAATTCCTCAATGTATATTAGCTCTAGAAGTTTTCTTGTAGACTCTGGATTTTCTGTATATGCGATTAGAAGTAATTTTGCCTTTTATTCCTTTTTCTTGTCTTAGTGCTGTGGCTAGGACTCAGTAGAGCTGTGGAGACGCGAGCATCCTTGTTTTGATACCAGTTTTAAGGAGGAAGCGCTCCATTAGGTGTCATGTTGGCTTTTGGCTTGAATCATAATGAAGAATTTCTCTTCTATTCCAATCTTCTTTAAGATTTTTATCAAGAAAGAAGTTGGATTTTCTGTATTTATAGGGGTGGCCATGTGGCTTGTTTCCTTTCTTCTCTTGATAGGTTGTATTATGTTAATATCCTAATGTTGGACCATCCTTGCATTCCTGGAATAAATTCCACTTGGCCATGTGTGACTTTTAATATGCTTTTGGAACCTATTAACTAGTATTTTGCTGAAGTTTTTCACATCTAAATGTATAAGTTATATCGGCCCATTATTTTCTTTTCTTGTAGTGTCTTTGTCTAACATGGGTACCATAGTTGTTTCCTTCATTGAATGAATTAGGGAGTATTCCTTCCTTCTTTGTCTTCTGAAAGAATTTAAACAGTTTTGGGGATAGGGTAAGTACTAGGGGCCTTGACAAATAGTGTTGGTGGTAGGATAAGTTATTGGGAGATTTTGGTAAGTAGTTTTTAGCTGTTGAATACAAAATGGATGGTCTGAAATGTAAGATCACAACCTAATTCACAATATATATTTTAAAAACACCAGTATTTGTGTTCTTCTTCAAATGTTTGGTAGACTTGCCTCATGAATCTGTCTAGTTCATGACTTTCTTTCTGTAAGTTATCCATATTCCTGCCATGTCGTTCATAATATTCTCTCATCATTTTCTTTTGCTATCAGGTCAGTTGTAATGCCCCGTTTCATTTTTATCTAGGGTATTTGCATCTTTTGTCAGTCTAGCCAAAGTTCTGTCCATTTTATCCACAAAGAACTGACTTCTGTGCTAATCAGCTATATGAATTCTTCAAAGAACTGTCAAAATTTTACTTCCTCTGTAAAGCTTTCTCTCACTGCCATTTTCCCTTCACCCTAATAAGCAGTGATTACCTCTCCCATACCCTATGTCTATTATATATATTTGTGTTACACTTCATTCTGTATCCATGTCTGTTTTCCGTTCTTTGAGGGGTTGTGGGATTGAAAATGAAGAACGGAATAAAATTATATCCCTTAGATTTCCTATTTTGAAATAGTTTCTTTTCAATAATACTCAGTGACTTTAAATGTATATGCTGATGTAAAGTGAGATGTTAAAACCACAAATTACAGTATAGATTATATTGAAAGATAAATAAATGTTAAGTTGATTTTTTTGATTATATGTGCCTTGCATTTCAGATTTTGTTAGTGGAGCACTAAATAAACTTAAATCTAACAGAACGCCCTCTTACACGCCTCAGCAAGGAAGAATTGGTAGGTATTATATACATTTATGTAAATTATTTCCATATACTAATCACCTAACTTATTTGGTTTAATCAAATTCAAATATTTTCTATAAAGGTGTTATACTATGCTATCAGACTAGCTAAGTATTTCTTTTAGTCTGATGTTACCTTTTAGTCTAATTATGCTTTTCTGCTGCTTGTAATTTGAATACTATTGAGCGAATGAAAACAGCTCTGGTGTATTCCTTATCTTTATTTATACTCCTACAACAAAGCATGTACATTTCAAGACAACTTCATTTTTGGGTTTAAAACAATTTTTTTTAATCATTTTACTGGGGGCTCATACAACCCTTATCACAACCCATACATACATGAATTGTGTAAAGCACATTTGTACTTTCATTGCCCTCATCATTCTCAAAACATCTGCTCTCTACCTAAGCCTCTGTTAAGACAATTTTTTATCCTAGTTTATGTGACTACAAAGTATTCACCTTAGTAGAAAAACAAGCTTACCTGTTATTCTATTTTCCATATTAAAGAAGTTAATGGAAGTTAACATTCAATTATGATGAAACAAAAACAATACTTAGATCAGTTTTTATTTTAACTCTTTAATCATGCATCTCCTGTGATCACTTGATAGCAGTGAATATGTGGGAGCCCTGGTTGTCTAGTGGTTATGCGTTGGGCTGCTAACCGCAAGATCAGTAATTGGAAACCACCAGGGATCCCTGGTGCTATAGTGGTTTTGTGGTGGCTTGAGATCCACATGACCAGCAGCACCATGGGAGGAAGACTGGGCTTTCTACAACCCCATAGAGAGAGGTACAGTCTTGGAAACCTACCGGGAATCGCTATGAGCCAGCGTAGGCTTGATGGCAGTGAGTTCTTTTTTTTAAGAGTGACAGTCTCAGAGACCCACGGGGGTAGCCCTGCCCTGCCCTATAGCGTTGCTGTGAGTTGCAGTCGACTCGATGGCAGCGCGTTTTTGCTTTTTTTTTTTAATATTGTCATCTTTCAGTCTTAACTGATTTAAGTTACTGTGTTTTAACAATCTTGCCTCTGTTTAGTACTTCATTTTAAGTAATTGCATGGTGTTAATTTAGTTGTATAGCATGTATTTGATATTATAAACTCATCTCCTTGTCTCTTTTAGATAACATAACTGTATGAGAAGAAATTATATAAAACATTTGTA